TATATATATATAACTTTATTCACTATTTAATAGTACTGACATAAGTAAATTTAAGTAGCTTTACTGTAGGACTTAAGACAAAAATTAGGTCTAAGATTAAAAATGTTATATTCTCAAATATATGCTAGAGGGGTATCTTTTGTCTTTAAGATTGATGTTGAAAGAATACCAACTCCAACCAACTCTAGCACGTTAATAGCAATGGTATCTAATTTTAATTAAACACTCATAAATGTAAGTACGCCAAATACTATATGAGATGAGAGCAAGCTATCAGTGAACCTAATAGTGATGTTAGAGTATATTTTCTTTCGTTTGAAGAGGCGAGTGGAAGGGATTCGTAAGTTGGCTACACCAATCACTGGGGGGTGTTACCTTTGGACTATGGATGTAGATTTCTGCGAATAGATCCTCGGCGCACCACCCTGCGACCCTGATGAACCCTTGCTGAGCTTAAATCAGTCATGTAACGGACATCATCAGAGCAGGACACCATGCTTAAGTATAATTCACCAAAACACGAAGGCAAGAAAGGTGGCCGGATTTAAACCTACTTCCTTCTTATATTCCAATTTGGTCCACTTATGCATCCCATATATTGGTTGGATTTCCTATACTTTGTCTCTATATTTGCTCAGAAATTCAAAAGGAAACCAGCATTTGTTGGTTTTATATACACATCTCAAACTAATCTGGTCACCTCTTTGTTAATTATGACATGAAGAAAAGGTAAACCACTTTACTTTTCTAACTTGATCGTTAATTTCGTCTTTCCATCGATCCTGTTAATCAAATCAAGAAAATTCTCCAGGTTTTATTTACCATTTTGCCAACTAGCTAAGTATTCGTCCTTATAGCGAACAAATAATTTATGAACTTAAAGTGTCTTCTGAATTAAATGTTCCTTAAGCTGAACTTTGATTTATCGTCTTTCTACACTACCATCCCTGAAGATAATGCTTTACAGGCCCTACAGTTTACACCAGACCAACATGCACAGATTTAAATGAGCACGAATTTATGTAAAGGGTCAATAATAATACTAATTAATCTGGCGATGTATAGTAGATAGCTTACCTTTACTAGAAGACTTTACGAACAAACATAAAGTTTAGCTTCGTGTTTGACACTGATTTCAGCAAATAATTACATTGCTAAATTTGACGAAGGTTCAATTCACGAGGCACTTTTAGTTCCTAAATTATTTGTTCGCAATATTGACAATTGCTTTGCTATTTGACAACATGGCAAAGAAAACCTAGAGAATTTTCTTGGTTTGATGAACAGGATCGATGGGAAGACGAAATTTACCATCGAGTTAGAAAATGATGGTGGTTTATCTTTTCTAGATGGCATAGCTAGTAAAGAGGGGACCAGATTAGGTAGAGATCTGTATAGGAAACCCACAAATGCAGGTTTTCTTTTGAATTCATTCTCTAACCACACTTATGGGGTTAAAGTAAGAGTCATAAAGTTTATGATAATAAACATCGATACAAGAACGGAGGAGGCTGAGGCGGATTCTGGTTGAGAATCATTATCCATGAGCCCTCGTTGACAACTGTTTTAGAATATTCTCGAATAGATGAAGGGAACTACATATTTGGGGTTAGATAAAGGGATAGATCACTCGACCAGGATTCGTATGCTACCATTTTGTAACCGGCCGAAGAAGGTAGGAGAATTACTGAGATGTGGCATTAGGACCATTTATAAATTGAAAATAAAACTATCCTTGGTATGGCCTTCTTTTCGAGAATACACTACCCGTTCTCCATGGTGCCCTGTTTAGACGATTTCCGTCGCTTGACGGACGAAACCTTAGCAAATATTCATTGGTGTCGCAGGTCGGTGCGTCGTGGACCTATGCGCACTAATCTACAACTACGACTCCAAGGTAAACCCCACAGCCTTCGGTGGAACCAACTACCGAATCCCTTCCGCTCGCTTCTTCAAACGAAATGAAAGGTACTCTAATATCAATATATTGAGAGATTCTTCGAAACCCAGTTTTTCTACACAACTTAAGATTTATTTTAAACTACTGACTTTTGAATACGTTGTAGGAAATATATTCTGCAAACTTATTTTTTTTATTTGCCTGAAATTCGTGATTTCGTGCTTTCAATATGAATCAGCTTCTGCGAATAACTCGATCCACTTAAAGCTGGATAAAGTGTAACTATCTTCATTATCTTACTTATATTACTTATTTATATATTTTTATTATGTAAAAGGTCGTATATTAACTGAATTGTGTTAAATTGTCTATTAATTTTATAAAACTATTAGATTTTCGTAGGAGGTAATGTATGCTCAAGTGGGTTGAACGATAAAGCAGAAACCACATTATAAGTATATAAGAAGGAGGGGTGGGCATTGATTGCCAAAGATTGTGAGAGCGAGTAACCATAAAACAACAAGAAGGTCGTTCATATCTGCTGAAAGAAATCTTACCAAATAACTTGTGATGAACAGGTTCGTATTGTGGACAAATTGTGAGTGTGTCCTGACACCTAAAACCAACATTCTAACCCCTGAGTGTGATACGTGAATATTCCGACCTCTAATACCCAGCACAAAGTCCAGGGGAATTAAGATAATCAGATTTGTATTAAATTCTAAACAAAACAGGCTAAGGAAATTTAAAGATAAATGTTGGCAACTTCAGGCAAGCCATTATTACTATATCCACGATATTCCGCGAAAACATTAGTGGGAAATGCAAGAGTTAGAACTACTTTTGATCAGATTTACTAACCACTTATTTTATTACACCTGAAGGCAATATAAATATGTATTTATTGAATATTAAAAACGTATTTGAGGTTGTTGAAGGAGATCGTGTGAGAGCTCTAAAACAGGAGCTGTAATAATTCTTGTTTTGAAATCCTATTAAACTAGACTGGTAAACAGTATTTTCAAAATAAATTTTTGACGTAAACTCGTTTGGAATGAACGGATTCCGCCAGAATCCAGAGAAAGAGGATAGGAAAAGATAAGTATACCTACAACCATTTAACTATAATTAAGATTAGAGTCTTTGGTGTGCTCGCAGTCTCTTTTAAATGTATATAAGTGGGTGGATATCGTTTTCTCAACTTGGTCGTGCTGTCAGGGTGATTTAGTTGGACGCACCTTGTCTCAAGTCCTCTTCTATG